AAGGAGAGGAAAAGGAGGGGTGGAAGCATTTTTATTTATACCTTTGACATTTAAAAGAGCATAATTAATTTGTCCTGCTTGCATTAACATTGTTGAGGAAGGTTTCAGAAAGCAAACCAGCAAAGGGAAGGGGGGAGGAAAAATAGAAGCTCGCCTAGAAAGCTTAGGATTTTTTTTCCCTCTTTCAGATGTGTAATCAATCATTCGAGTAGGAGGCAGCAAAATTGTAAAGATTCGATAGATTAAAATGCAAATGAAAGGTAGAAAAAGAAACATTAACATGGCAATCAAAGATTTAATAATCGTAAATCACGGTGGGGTTTTTTTGTTGCAGCTGCAGTTTGTGTGTTTTTTATGTTTTAATCATGTTCGTTCTATAAATAAATAATTTCTGAAACGAGACTAATTTTTCACTATTTTAACCGTGGGCTATGGCACTAAATATTTTTTTTAATGTATGGAACTCCAGATTGCAAACTATCAGACTAGGAAAAGGGAAAAGATAGCTAAGTTGGATTAGTTCACATTTGAAATTTTAAGTATAATGTCTCTGCAGTGCCGACCGCTTCACTTCCCAATTGAAATCCTTATAAAGTTTATTTGGAATCATGAATGTTTACGTACAGGCAGACAACCGGCGATTTTTTACAAGGCTAATGGTAGCTCAAACCCTCATTTCTGGAGGAAATATGGGAAAAAAAATATATATATGTGTGTGTGTGTGTCTGTATGTATTTTTTTTTCCTTTTCCCTATATGTGTACATATAGGAAAAAGAACAATAACACTTAGGCTGTATTACCTCCAAATTAAAGCGTTGCTAAATTTCCAAGGGAAGATTAAAGAGGGGGAAACCTGGGGAGAGAGCTGGTCAATACGGTGAAGGAGAAGCAGGAGAGTATTTGCTCTCCCCCCTCGGTTTAGCGCGGCTCCTGAAAGGGACGCTCCGGGACTGCCTAGGATGGCTGTGGCAAAACCAGCATCCTTCTGCTCTGGCTCACACGGGCTCGGCTTTGGTACCCCCAAGTCCCGGGTTATGGGGTGCACCGGCTCGTCCTCTGGGAAAACGGCTGGGAAATAATTCTTTGAACTTTTGGGCTCAGTGGATGGAGTTCATTTTGCGCGGCGAAGAGGGGGAAAAAGGAGTTAATCTTTACTTCGTTGGTAATCTTTATAGAGCCGAGGGAGAGGGAAGGGAGAGGAGGAAAATCCCCCGTGGGCTGCTCCGGTTTGGGGGCTTGCGGCAGCGCTGCCGTCTCTAAAGAGCGCTCGGCGAAAGGAAACCGGTACAAAAACCAGCTGAACGCGGAAAACGAGCCGCCTTTCTGGGACCTTCTCCTCCTCGCCGAGGGGGCCCATGCCCGTGCCGTTCCCCCCTCCCCAGCTCCTCCGGTGCGCCCGGCAGCGCTCCCCGCCGCCGGACCTTTCCCCGGGGCGGCCGCCGCTCCGCGCCGCGGGGCCCCGCGCATCCCCCGCGGCCGAGGGAATACTGCCGGGAAGGGCCGCGGGGAGCCCCACCGCAGCACCCCGCACCGCAGTCCTCCATGCGGTACTCGGGATTCGGGGGCAGAATCCACCAGTGGGTTTTTTCCCCAGCCAAATCACTTTATACCCTCTTTAATTTTTTCCCCTTGCTAGAGCCCTATTTTTTCCTCCCCGCTTCCTCTCCCCGGATCGGGGGGTCCCAGCAGGACGGCCCCGCCGGGAGCTGCACTGGCTCCGCACGCCGGCTGCCGGGGCCGCGCTCCGGGCGCTGCCCGGGACTCGCTGTCTGCCAGGCGGGGAGCGGGCCGGGGGCTCCGGGCCCGGGGGGTCCGGGGGGGCCCCGCCGCCTCCCGCAGCCCCTGACCCCGGCATGCACGGAGCGGTTCCATTGATCATCCCGGCCCGCCACCCCCTCCCTTTATGAGATAATGCAATTACAAACATCAATAAGGAGCTGCGAGGGGAATCATTATGCGGTGACAGTGATAAATGACGGTGCAGAAATAGCATGCTTTTTTTTTTTTTTTTTTTCCCTAACAATCCAGGGGCTTTGGGGGCTGAGCACAGTCACCAAGGTAACAGATGACATCCAAAATGGCACCAAAGGAAAAAAATGAACAGTCTTTCTTTTGCCTTTCACTCTTTTCGCCCTGCTCTTCCAAAAGAGTTAGTTGGGGCTTTGGAAGCAGCTGCCACACAGGCATGCGGGTATTTCCACACGCATTAAAGGGCCGGGGAAGGCTTGCTGGCTGTCACACACAAAGCACCAGCCCGGCCCGGGAGCTGAGCAGCCACCTCCAGGAGGCACCGGGAGCTCCCACCCCAGGCGCGATCGCCCCCGCTCCGCTCCGCGCCGCGCACCGCCCGTCCCTGCCCGCGGCCGGGGACAGCCGCCTCCTCCCGGCCCGCGGGAAACGTCCGTTCCATTTTATACACGAATAGAAATAGAAATAGAAATATATATACGTTATCGTCACGGGCGGCGTAGCAAGGTCAGGGGAGGAGAAAAATATTTTTCTGTTTTCCACGCAGGTTTAGGACGCGCGGAGCGAGACGCCAGTAGCGGGAACTTTACTCGCAACAGCGCCAGGGCTGGAAATATTCACAGCGCGGCCGAAAAGTGCCGCTTCTGAGCCCAAAAGTGCCTGTGGCTGCGGGTGGCACGGCCGAGCCGGCAGGGCAGGCACAGCCCACGCGAGTCCCTCTGCCTGGAGTGGGACTCGGCTGGAATTTGCTGTCCCTCGAAAAAACCCGCTTGGGGGTTGTGGGTGCCCATCCCAGACGCAGGGCAGGCCCCGCGCAGCAGTGCGCTCAAATTCCGCGCAGAGGAGATTCTGGCCCCTCTCCAGCCTCTGTGAAAGGGTGGGAAGGAAGAGCGCTGCGCTCGCCTTGCGCGGCAGCGCACGCACCCCCCCTCCACGGGGGAGGCGCAAAAATAAAGGGGGACGCGGGAAATCGGGACCAATATTTTAAAAAAAGAAAAAAAGAAAAAAAAAACCACACAAAAAACCCCAAAACCCAAAAAAAACAACAGAAAAAAAAAAAACCCACAAAAAACCCCAAAACCCAAAAAAACAAGAAAAACCAAACTAAAACCAGGAAAACAGAGCGTCGCTGAAGGCTGCGCAAACTTTAGTCCGGCAACGCGCAACATCCGCGGCGCTCCGCGGGCGGCCCCGAAGCCCCCGCACTGCCCCCCCGCGTCACTCTCCCGAGCCCCCAAGAGATGGCAGTCGAAGACGGCTTTCCTCCTCCTCCTCCTCGTCCTCCTCCTCCTCGGCGGCGGGCAGCGGCAGGACGGCGGGGCTGCGAGCCGCTCCCGCACTGCGCCCCCGCGCAGCGCCGCGCAGCGCCGCGGGACGCGCAGCCTCCGGGGCCGGGTGAGCAGCGGAGGCGCAGCAGGGCGGCCCTGCCCGGGCCCCTCCGGGCCCCCCCGGTGCGGTGAAAGGAGGGTAGCTAGGAAACAGCGAGCGGCCCGAAAAGGCGGAATTTCCAACGTGTAAAATGTTCTTAACGGAGCCATTGAGAGAGTGCAATAAGGCGTGAGGGGGAACTAATCTTCCCATTTAAATGTTTGTGGCAATTTTATCTAAATGAATTTTAATGCTAAACGAGGGATAATTCCCTATTTGTAACCCGTTTACTTCTCTTTCCTGTGCCTCTGAAGCTGTCTAACATCATGCGATGAACAATAACAATAAAAATACTGTCAAGGCATATTCTTCATTTTGAATGTGTTATAATTACAGCTGATTAAATGTCTTGGGATGTAATCGTGGGTTTAATTTGAAATGTGCCCCCCTCCAAAAAAAAAAAGGTCCCATGCAGGAAGGTCTGTGCCCCACTTCGCAGCGGCTGCGAGGAGAAGGGACGCGTGTGCCCTCGCCTGCGAGAGGGCGGTTTGTTTTTGTCTTTCAAGAAACCTTAAAAAACCCCAAAAAACCCAAACACGTAAAAACAAAACAAACAAAACGAAACAAAACCAAAGGAGAAAAAAAAAAAAAAGAAAAAAAAAAAAGCGAGCCCCGTTCATCCACGTTTTGGCAGAAAAATGTCACTACTCCGGCCTCACAAAGGAGGGATGTTCATCCTCCTTGGCGGTACAGCGGCCCTTTAAAAAAACGGGGGGAAAGGAGGAGAGGGGAAAAAAAGAAAAAAAAAAAAAAAGAGGGGGAGGAAGTCCCAGCCGGGGAGGAGAGGTCCCCCTTTGGTGGCCTGCTTCTTTCAGAAAGGTCTGCACTGCCTGCCTGCAGCTCTGCCTGCACCCCTGCCCAGCCCGGGGGCCCCCGGACTCTGCCCTGCAGCACGCCCGGGACACCTCCCGCGGGGGGTGCCGGCTGCCTTGGGAGAGGCTGGGGGGGGGTTGCATTATTTCGCCTTAATTAAGATATTTGTGTCGTTTTCCTAGCCCCGGGAATCTCAATTTTTTTCTTCTATAGCTGCGAGTTGAAGCAAAGGAGGTCTCGCAGCCTGCACGGGCGGGCTGGGCGCTCCCATTCCTGGCTGTGGGGCAGAAAGCACAAACGCGAGAGGAAATTGGCTAATGAGGGTCGGCGCTGGCCTTGCTCGCAGAGGTCCAGCAGCACCCCGTCCCCCTACAGATACGCACTGCCCAGCAATGTTTGCCAAGTTTTGTTTTCCTCCTTCCTCAGTATGCTCAATTCCAGTAAGAAACTCAGTAATTTGAACTGTGTATTAGGCTATAATTTGGGAGGGAGAGGTGGTAACACTATTTACAAATTTCTGTCCAATAATGCCCTACGATATTACATTTATTAAAAGGCAACAGTTCCCATCCTGACAATTTACAGTGCAAGTTCCAAGGAAGTTTCTTTATGCAGCGTAGCATTACTTTTACATTCTTTAAATATGAAGCTGATATTTAAACAGCAAATGATAGGTAACATCTCCAGAGCCAGCTGAATTTTGTAGCTGCTCGGCTCTCAGCCTGGGATAGAATGGCTACAAATACTGCATGGGGACAGGAAACAAATTTTGCAAGCAGTGGAGTCACCATGACAAAAAATAATTTGTTTTTATTTTAGATTCAGATTTCATTACTGCACTCAAACTACTACAACTGGGCTTTGAGTTATTATACAATCCAAACTGTTTCAATCAGAAACTCTAAGACTCAGTGTGCAATGATTATTATTAATAATAATTAGCTCCTTGGTTTCTTGATAGAAAAAGGCTATCAACAAGCATTTGTTTAACCACAACAAAAGTATAATTAGCTTATCCCACTTAGTAAATCTGTATGCATGCCAACTCATACCAAACTGCTACTTTTACAAAAAATTGCAATAATACAGATCATTTTTCCAGTCCTTTTTGCACAAAATTTATTTACAATGTATACATAAATGCTCCATGATGGGACTATGGAAAAAAAAATGCACACATGACCGATGTCTTGCCCAGAAAGAAAGTCAACATATTAAAAATAAATCTTCAGTCCATGTTTTGAGCTGCATAAAACAGGAAGTGATGTACAAGGTGATGGTTGCTGCATGGGGACAAGGATGCTCTGATGTGACAATTAGGCTTCAAATACACTGCCTTTCCGTTTCCATGCTTCCTCCTACCAGTCTCCTTAAGACACTGCCTGCAACAGCTGATTAATCATTGTTGATGACTTCAGTTTTTCCCATCCTTCCCGATTTACATCTGTTCAGGCCAATTCAAATATGGTGAGTAAATGAATTAGACATGCAAATTCACGCCCCAGGCTAGAAAGAGAGAGAGGGAGAGAGATGGGGAGAAAGGCAGAGAAAGGGAAGAAAGACGGACAGAGGAGGAGAGGGAGGGGGGAGAGAGAGAGTGTGCATGGCTGAAATCCTAGGATAGAAGAAAGATTCTTCTGCCTGACATAGTTATTTTAATGCTCTAAAAATCCTGCAAATAAGCCCTTTCTGTCATTTGCAGGATAAGTGTAAGGCTTCTTTTTTAATGTAAGGAGGCTTCTGGAGGAAGTGAAGAGCTATGGAAACAACACACATAGTGTGGAAAAATTTCACATTTTTTTTAAAAAATCTATAAGAAACAACGTAATATGGATAACAGTATAATAGCATTTTACAATATTTCACTCTTTGTTTTCTTAATGTCTTATATAGGTATTCAGCATGTCCCCAGAAGTTGACTTCAGTTGGTGTTTTCCTGCTTTTCAGGGTCCCTGTGAAGAATTGGAACGTCCCTTGGTCCAAAGTTGACGCAAGAACTCCATAGTCATTGCAGAAAGACAATGTTTGAAATCTACCATCGCTGCAGACAACGTGTATTTCCCTTAAGCTACTGAGCATGAATGTCCATCACTTGTCCGCTCACTGCTGGCTCGCCGGTATGAAGCATTGTGGGGCTTGATGCTGACATGGGCATTCCAGGGTGGGGTGGTCCTCCATGCATCATCATCGCTGGGTGGTGAGGGTGTCCAGGAATGTAGGTATGCATGGGGGGGCCATGACGCAGCTGAGCAGGATGGGGGGGCATCTGGGGCGGCGTATAGCTTGGCTGTCCCATATTCATACCCATTGGACTACCCCGAGACACATAATCCCCTGGCATACTTTGCAGCCCTGCAAAGGAAGAGAAAGAGGTGGCGGTGAGTGGTGGGGACCGGCTGTGGCATCGGGCCGCGAAGCTGCTCCGCTCGGGCGCGGGGAGGCCGGGCTCCAGCCCCAGGCGGGAAGCGGAGTCGTGGGCGCGCGAGCGCCCTCGGCTCTGTGGAGTTGGGAGTCTGCGCGTGGACTCGCAGTGACGGCAACAGGAATGGCCCCCAGGTCAGAAAGAACCCCCGAGAACATCCTCCCCCTTCCAAATACAGAGTTTTTGGAGACAAAACAGCTTTCTGCTTTTATGGTTAGGAATGTATGCAATGGGGATGCTCCTGATCTCGAAGCATGCCAGAGGCGGCGCCAGCCTGAGGATGGCTAATGCCACACGGAGGGCACTCAGGTGGGCTCCATTCCCCATGGCCTTCCTCCAGCCACCAGCCTTTGCCTTCCCACTTTTAAAAGCACACTGGGAATACAAGGCAGAGAATCTGCAGCAGCTAACGAGGGACTTGGGAGGAGCGATGGGTTAAATAGGTGTCAAGGTTTATCAACAGCTATTTATTTAGCTCTTGAGCCTGATCTCTTGGAATCTGTCCCAAATATTTGTGCCATTCAAAGAGATGCAATCCAGCAAGGACATACATCACTGAACAAAGGCCTCATATGAAGCCGAAATTGATAGGATTACTAAGTATGATTGCTAAATCAAACTCGTATTTTTAGAGACATTAAAAATATATGCATAATCAATAACAGTTATCAATTATTTCTTTACCCCCCTGATCACCTCTGGTTGCAGACGCCCAACTCAGTCAAACCTTTCAGTGGGTTTGGGAGAACAATAAGAAAAAAATTGGACCTAAAACAATAAAACCTCCTGCTTTCTGTGGGCCTCTGCCTTCTGCTTGGATTGCTGTAGCTGATGGGAACTGACAGGTGTATTGTTTCGGAGAGCTATAAGCTCCATAATCATCAAGGGTGAAAGGCATACGCTATTGCTAAGTAGGTTCAATTGGCTTTAGTTCTAAGTAAGAGCGCGCTGTGAATGCGCCGAACACCTTGGAATCAGGTCTCAAGGCTCTAGCAATGAATAGCTGCTTAATCTAGCCTAAAGGAACAGTTTTGAACTAATGAAAATTGCTTATAAAATATACTGTACTCACAGCTCTTTAATCAAAAAAGATGATAATATTTTTTGTAATAACCTATTAATTTAATTGGTCACGAAGCATAAAATACATCATTTAAATTTAATTGACCCAGAAACTAAGAAACAATATTTAAATTAACTAAGCTAGAAATTTTCATGATGAGGTAATAAGGCTATTGCATTCCCAAGCTCAGAGGAATGTTTTCACAGCTAATTGTTAAAACTTAGTTTTGACTTGGGCTCAGAGAAGACTACTACGAAATACACTTGCCCTGGGTAACTTCAAACCCTATGTTAATATAGGCTGGGGGCACAACAAAGATGCTGAAATAACTCTTTTAACTCCAGAAAAAGAGCAAGGGAAATAGAATCAGGCACCATTTAAACATGGTACCAAGTGTCTTGGTGTTTCAAACCACTTTACTATTAAGAAAAAAACAAAACAAAAACCAAAAATTTGTATAATGTATTTTTCCCTAGAAAAAGACAAGAGGGGGGAAAAAAACTGGGACAGTTTTTCTAGGCTTCCTTTGCGAGGTCTGCCACTGAAGATTGCATTAATGATCTCTATTTTTGTATACTGAATAAGTCAAATCCATTTGTCACACTGCAAGTGATGGCATACTTAATTTGGATATAGTCAATTAGCCTGGGCTAAGCTCCATAGCCTGCTGCGCACACCTCTATTTTGTATTCTCTCTTTTTCCTTTGCCACACGTAATCCCATTATGACGGACAGACAAAGAGAAATAAACTTGAAAAAAAAAAAGAAAAAAATCAAAGTTTCATCCATTGCTTTCCAAAATGCAACTAAGTGAAGCTGCTGGATTTTGCTTGGTTTTTTTTTTCCTACCCCATGAGAAGTCTCTGTTTGGCTTTTTTGGTGTCTTGCAGGTTAGCGGGAGAAATGTAACTCATGCATCAACTGCGGTTAGACAGATTTATGACACTTTGGGGACATGCTCTTTCCTCTCCCTGTGCTGCTGCAGACCGCTTACATTTTGCAAATCAGTCTGTTGCCAAGACGACGGGCTCCCCCACCTCCCTGGCTGCTCCTTGTTTTGTCATGTGCTCGGGGATGGATAATAGCATCAATGTATGGCGGCGTCGATGTACGGCAGCGTCAATGTACGGCGCGCGCGCGCGCGGGGGGTTTGGGAGCTTGGAAAGCTTGAGCTGAACCAGAGGGAGAGAAAACCCAAAGGAGCCCAGGCGTAGGATGGATGGATGGAAAGGAAGGAACAAGCATGAGGCTATGGGCAGGGAGAACATAGGGAAATGCAAGAAGACAAATATCCCTCGGACAAAGTGAGAACAAAGACCTCGTTTGTACTTACTTCCCCCTGGCTTTGCCATTGGTTACCTAGGTGAAGGTTACATGTAGTGCCACTGCCCCTCCATGCCCATATTCATGCCCATTCCACTCATAGGTCCTAGAGGGAGATAAAAATCCAAGAAGATGCCAGAAAATGAGCAAAGTCAACAGATAGCGCCAAAAGCCCCTTTCCAAATCACAGCACGGCAGAGGGTCCAGGACCGCTCGAGCAAGGAGACGCCCGGTTTCCCTCGGTGGTGTGGAAGGCAGGCAGAAGACAGGTGAGGCAAGCAGGCAGCGGGGACGGCGGCAGAGGGCAGAGGGAGGTGTGTTTACCTGTGCTGGTGTGACCAAGGCCACCCGTGAGCGGGCGATGCTGCCCGGGGGCTTACCTGGTGCTCGGATGCCCATGTGCTGCTGGCCATCCATCACGAAACCTCCCATCGGCTGCCCGTCGGGGTTATAGGGTGTTCCTTGACTTACTGCAAAGGTGCAGAACATTTCTTTTTAGCAACAGCCAATACGGCCACCTCTTCCCATGGCATTGGGACACAATCCCCCCACCCAAAGGCTATCAATGCTGGCTCTAAAAAGAGGGGAAAACATCTACTGTGTGAATGTTGGACTAACAGGCGTACTTGGTTTTGGCCTAATTTTCTTCTGCAAGTTTGGAAATGAAGTTAGCAAACTGAAATCTTGAGACATGAGGAGCCCCGGCTCCAGCTGCTGCCGCTGCTGACGTCAATGCAAAAACCTGTATAGGAGCCGGATTTTATGGCTGGAATAGTCACACTGAAATCTCAGTGTGTTAAATTACACCCTTGTGCCTTCAAAGGGCAGGACCTGAACACGTCCATGCCAGATATTTACGTCTAATGACAAATAATCAAATGTACTTGAAGAGGAAGTGTGGCCCAAAGGCATCTTGGACAACGACAGATTTGGAGAGTTTGGCAGGGAGACTCGGAAAACAAAACCAACTGGGAATAATGGACTATGATAATCCTTGATGGCAAATACCCACAGAGAGCTGCAAGACAAGATCCCAAATAGAACCAATGTGTGGAAACTTAAGGTCTTTAAAAAAAATAGAAATGAGTAACCCCAAAGTAAACAGCAAATGCTCAGCAGTCCCCAAAGAAGAGCCAAGGGACAAAAGAGCCCTATGCAAGTCCCACTACCTGAACTGGAGGTTTTCAATGTACGTTAAAAGCTGGCTTCAGTAGTAAGCTGGCTTGGGTTATTAAAGCACATAAAGCTCTACCTCATTGAATGCCTTTGAACTTTACTGAGTCCCACAAGTGATTCTGACCCCTTTGCCCTTTTGACAGGTAATAAAGTTTACAGCAATTCCACACCAAGCCATGCACCAGGGAGTGGTCACAGGAACAGAAAGAGCTGGGAAGGAAAACTCCAAACAATGACTAAAAAATACAAGAATAATTTGGATCTTGTACAGAAAATCCGGCCATGGAACAGAGCATTTTAGTTTCCCTTTTTGAATTTTCAATGTCTTTTTTTTCCCCCAATTATTAGAGTCCAAATGAAAGAAATTTTGTTGCAGTTTAATTGTCAGTCACTCCCAGCATTCATTTCTCATTTATTTACCAGGTACTGGACCTCCTGGTGAATGGCTTTTGCCTGTGTGGCTTGAATACAGTTACTACTGGGGACTTGCCTGCTCGATTGGACTGGTCTATCATGGGCTGAACTATTCTTCTTCTAGCATTAATAAACCTGCAAGAAAAAAGAGGAAAGCAAATGGTTAGGGAAGGGATGTCTTCCACCCATCCCCAAGCCCTCTCATCCTACTGTGGTGCTCTCCATCAGGCTGCATGGGGATGCAAATACTGCTAAACCTCTAACCCTGATGACCTTTGAGAGCACAACCTTGGGGTTTCCAAGCTGATTTATGTTTGCCTGCTTTTTACCACAGTCAGACACTTCCATTTCATCTTTTCATGGGGGAATTAGCCGAGTTTTCAGGAAACAATGCCAGCAACGCTCTTCTCAATACAGAATGGGGCACCAAAAAAAACAAAAAAGTGTGAAGCCGGCGAGATGCTCGTGAGGGCATCTGCTACCTCCCCCCTCATTAGTGTCATTTCTGCCTTATGTCCTTTGACTTCTTTTTCCAATTTTTTTCTTTATCAAAACCTGTCCCTACCTCTTGCAAACCTAATTCCCTTTTAATGCCCACTATTAAGATAATGAACTGTGATGGCAGAACCCCATCAAATGAGGGAACGTCTGGACTTTTATCACCACTAAGTCACACTGCTGGGGACTTCAGAGCCATGCATTCCTCCTAGCCATTTCTTGGTGGGCTTTTTCCCCCCTCCCTCTCTTTATGCAAAGTCTGAGGGGGTCAAGGCGAGGTCATAGCTTTACAGTAATTGAATTTATAATCCTGTTTTCTCCAGCTAGGCCTGACCATTTACAGCAAACATCTTGTTAAACTGTAATTACTGGACTACTGAAAATTCCCCCCCGAACAATGAAAAGAAGATCTTTGGAAATAACAAAAAAAAAGGGGGTACAGTCATTTTTAAAAATAGCTATCTGCAGCCCACTCTTTGCAGTTTTGTAGCTCTTCGCCTCAGTTAGTCCTGCAATGCTTATTTGGAAATATTCAAAATAATTTGGAGCAAAACAAAAGAAGGAGACAAGTACCCTGGTCTCCTCATGGTGCTGAAATCAGGAGGCTGGGAACCTGTCTGAATGAAGACCACTTGAAGAATCTCTCTTAAGATTTCACTCAGCAGAAAATTTACTTAAAATCCATTTGGAAAAAATCTACATTGAGACTTAGTCATGGTAAAGCTGCATAACCAGAGTTTGTGCTCTTTGTGAGAGAGAAAAAGAATAATAAAAATATGTATGCCATAATATTTACTAGTAAAGGAAGAAGTGTGAGTGTGGACTAAATCACAGCACACTTGCAAAATGGGAGAGGAAAGTCCACAAAGGGGTATTTGATGCTTGTTTTCATTGCCTTTGCTTGGGGTGGCTTAGCAGGAGCTCTTCTACCACAGAGATAAAGCCACTGGGATCTCTCCATGGGAATCAGCTCTGCCCACCCATTTGCCTTCACCAGAGGGGAGAAGAATAGCAAACCACTGCCCCATGCTGTTTCTTTTGCCCTCATCAAAGACCAGCACAGTGACTTCAGACTCCTCCTATCCCCCATTCCCCACTGACACCCATTACCCAAAGTTCTGCAAAAATTAATCAAGATGTTGAGTCTTTATCAAACCTGTCTTGAGGAAATGGGCTCAAAGGCACCAAACCTGGGTGCCAATCTGGAAACCTTACACCTGAACTAGGTCATGTTTTGTCAGCAACAGTATTGGATCAATTTTTTCTACACATTTCCAATAAACACACCCTCTCGACTCCAGCAAACAGTGTTGCAAATCAGTTTATCATTATCTTGTACAAACCATGAAAATTAGAATCATGTGAGCAGAAGGTTAGACTAATTCTCCTTTCTCATTATAAGCACAGGTGTAGCACAAACACCATGTGAAAAAAGCAATTAAAAAAAAACCTGCTTTTTTTTCCCCCATTAGCTGCCTTAGCACCATGACCAATTAGAAAATTGTTTAATATCTGTAATCTGCATTTGCAGAAAGTAATTTTCACAGTAACTCTTCGAAGTAAAACAACATCACAAAACCCTAGTGCCTCAGCCATTTCTTTTTGTGAGTCTGGCAAGGCTCTTGCTGTGTTTACTCCATCCTTCTCCTGCCCCACTGCTAGGACCTGGTAGCATGGCAGGAGGAGAGAGGTAGCTGTGAGAGTGACTGGTCACCAAAAAAACTTTTACCCCAAATAAATGCTGAGCAACATTAGGCATGTACAACCTCAACTTCACGACTTTTTCTTCCTTCTCCTCCAAACTACAAGCACTTTTAAGATGGAGGGGTGCCTCAAAATAATCAACTATACTATATACAGTACTGCTTATATACTAATATACTAGAATAAACTATATATCTACAGTTTACCCATAATTACGCACAAGATGTGCCTATGGTAAAACATAATCTCACCTGTTTCCCCATGCTGTGGTTTGGGATCTCTACTTTAAGAACATTTTACACACAGGTACTTAACAGTTATCTTCTTCCCACGCATTCGTGTAAGTATTTTCTATAAGTAGCAATTCTGCCAAACAGCTCAGTGTTTGGATGTCTTTGGGGGGAATTCAGACACAAGAACATTTTCCTTCTGGGCAAAGTAATAAAATGACATTCTTGCTCCTCCCACTAGAAGTCAAACGGAGGTCAGCTCCCCATCCTTGTATCTGTTTAAATAAACTGGTCCAGCTGTTTGTTTCCAGGATGCCCTTTAACCTTCTGTCCCATCCTCCCTGCCTTTGTAACACAACGCTTTACTTTGCATTATAGTAGACTCCAAACCACTGAGCATTTAAAAAAAAAAAGAAAAAAAGAAGAAGAAAGTATTCACTTTCAAGTTTCTTCCTGCATCCCAAACCTAGAATTTGTAAGAACCTATCAGATTAAAACAATTAATGTAGCTTGCCTTGAGAGAGCACAATACAGGCTGTGATGTTTATAAATCGCATTTGAAAACTTCTTGCAAGCAAAACTGCAAATTAGCTGTTGCTGCAGAAATATATAGGCATGTGGTTAATTTCTTCATACTCTCAGGTTTTTTTTTTCTTTGAGAGAAGGGCCAGGATATTTTGATCACTCTTTGAATTTCCAAAGTGCCAGGCTGATTTGAACATCAGCAAAAACAATGGAACAGAAAAGCTAAAAGGAATAATCTCCCTTCACATTTTCCCAAATGTTTATATTCACCTATCTTAAGAGAAAGAAACTCTAAATCACTCTAATCTTTAAAACTTCAGAGAAATCAGGACCTAAAAAAGGTATTTGCATACTACTACTGAAATGGAGTCAAAATACAATTTAGCATAAAACTTAAGACAGATGTAGAGCTTTACTCATGTGAGTAAAGAGCCAATCAGGCTGAAAGGCTTGCACGAAGGATTTTTCCCTACACCAGTGCTCTGTGTTACGGTATCTTTGCTCTGATGAGGAAGGGGATCTTTTGGTTTGAGTTTTTTGCCTCAAAAGAGTTGGATCAATAGTGGCACAACAACATAATATCCCTCAGTGTACAAGTTGCACTCAGCAAAGCGATGCCTTGGGCTGGCTTTTTTTTTCCCTTCCTCCTTTTTTTGTGGGGGGCGGACTTTTTTCTTTTGTTGTTTTGTTTTGTAAAGGGAAGGATCTGGCATGGAGAAAACATTTGAACAGTTGGGCAAACACAGGAGTTTGAAGTATTTCCTAATTTTTTCAAGTTAACTTTTCCTTGCTCTTTTCAGACGCATGGGATTGCACTTTCTGCCATGTCCCAAAAAGCAAGAAAAATCCAACAATTCCACCTGCATAACCCTAAAGGGAAGGAGGAAACCCTCTTCTCTCCCATTTGCATTTTACTAGGATGTTTTCTCTTAGGCTTCTCGCCTGGGGTCTGTCTGCAGAGGTCACCCAGGCAGACTCCCTGGTTGGTGCATCGCTGGTCCCACGGGTGAGCTCCAGCCCCAGCCCCGGGGATGCAGCAATCTGCCTCTGCACTCTGACCTTCAGCTTGGCCGCCCTCGCTGCCACGCACAAGTTTTGTTTCTTCTCAGCAAGAGGCTGCATGGCTGGTGATGACAAAAGACTTATTTTAGTTGGAAATTGGCTACAATAATAGCAGCCAGAGAGCAAGGATTTTCAGAGGGTCACCAAACCCTCCGAAAGGCACAGCTCGCTAGGGCTCAGGTTACAGCCCAAGTGACATTTTCCGCACAGATCTGTTCTTTCTCCCTTCCCCTTGTATTTCACTTCTGTTGAGTGAATAAAACAAGACCTTCCTCTGCTGTCACGAATTTCCAAAGTCACCTTTGCTCAAGAATCGACAGAGTGATTGTGGGGACTTCCAATTTGCAGTCTTTGAATGAAATTTTCCAGGACCAGCTGTCTGAAAGGAGATGCTGAGACTTCGCGGTCTATTGAATTTTTCTCTGTCCCCAGCCCTCCGAAATGAGGAGAGTTTCACACCATTACTGACTTCTGCTACTTGGAGTCACAGGCTGCTCCCTCTCAATATTGTCCCAAAGTGCTGCCTGCCAGAAGTCTGTGTTACACTAGCAGAGCCAAGAAATTCCCGAAAATCTCTCTGCCTCATTTTCTCCTTGAGCTCCTTCTAGCAAACCAGGCGTAAGAAGAATGAGAAGCCCACATTACCTACAAACCCCAGTGCTAAAAATCTCTCATGCCCCTCTGAAGAAAAACAGTATTCCTCTCGACAACAAACAAATCATCATTTTTGTAACAGATGCCAAAGTAAACATAGCACTGCAAACTGGCAAATAATTCACTTGTAAAACCAGTTGCACTCTTTTCTGCATAGTGGGATCCTTCATTTATACAGCAGCAAAACAACATTCTCTATTCAGCACTTAATTCCTCAACGCTTAACAGGTTTATCTCTAATAAAACCAATTTAAATGGAAAGTGTGCTATAAACCAAGATTATTACACTTCAGTAACTGCTTTATTCCTTATTTTAACATATTTTCATTTTTTTCTCTGTGTTTGTTTTCCAGAGATTTTTAAAGAGTCAGTTAAAGAAAAGCAAAAAAACCCCATACCAACACAGAAATTATTTCACCAAATACTTTCAAATGTTTTTTGAAAACAGCCTTGAAAATAGCA